GTATGTTTAGACACGCGGGCCCGGCTCTCTGCATGTGGAAGGAGTGCATTTGCACATGACCTAATCATAAAATCGATTTTTGGCCCAAATTTAAGGTCATTTTTTTCTTTTTAAAAAAATATGATATTAAGGTCATTTTTACTGAATTTTGTTATAATGTAAATTTCTCAGCACTGGACCTTTTTTAATAATTAGTCGGGCATGTAGACGCGTAACATGTAACTCTAACAAAAACAACATTGAAATTAGATAAGTTAGATGATATGTGCAACCCGGACTCCAAATTTGTTTAATGAAACCCCAACACGTTTAGTTTATCCTAAACCCAAACTCTAAAAAATTTTGTAATTAATTTTTAACATAAATATAGAAGGTCAAAGCACAATTGTAACCCTAAGCCCATGTGTAAATCCTAATCCTAGATGCGACTCACCATCTCTATAAATAGAGATGCCTTGAGTAGGAGAAGAGGGAGAGGTTGGGGCAGCGGTGAAGCTTTGCCAGAATCTCACCATAACCACCATTGTGGGAGGAAGCCACCGCCGTTACCTAAGGAGAATGAGAAGGCATATATGACTCATTTCAGAGGAAGAAGAAATGGACATGCAAACATGATTAGAATGAAACTTCTAGAGTAAGTTCTCAATTCTCAGATCTAGCTATAGGAGAAAACAACATATACTTCCATTTTGTATTCTGAGAAATATTGATGTTTTTCGGGACAGATTTGTGAAGAAATAGATCGCAAAGGATCGTGACCAGTCTACTTCGAAGGCAAATTCTCGTCGAACCAGAAGAAGTTAGGAGGCGATTTGTATACCATTGGGAAGGTCTCGATCTCAAAATTCCATATTAGTTTCTCGATCCCTATTCCGAGTGTGCAACAGGTAGAGGTCCATAGGCGAAGTGCAAGCGGCTGAGGTCTAAGGTATTTGAAAGGCCAAGGTGAGGACTTTTCCAGCAAATGATGTGTGTGAACATGTTTAGCATAGGCGTGTAATACCTCCCTAAGTTCTTTTCCAGCAAATGATGTGTGTGAACATGTCTAGCATAGACTTGTAATACCTGGTAATGTTTGGCTTGAGCATTGTCTAGTGATTGATACATGCCTAGAGTGGTTAGGTTGACTATTGATGATTGCCTAAAGTGGATAGGTTGATTGCTGATGCATGTTGTTGATTATTGGAAATTGCGATCCAAAGAGATAGAATCTATTGGTAGTTTGTGTGTAGTATGTACATGGCTCCAAGACGTCGTGGGACAGTTGTAAAACCTCGTTGTCCTGCGGGGAATGTGTGATCCATGAATGGCTGACGAGCCTCATTTTGTGGGCTCTGCGAGGATTGGCCATGAGAATTCGAGTGAGGCATGATGTGTCCTTTGAGCTTACGAGGTACTGGATTTGACTACGTATAGTCTGAGGGGTACGATGTTCGGTCTCGCGGGAGGCGCTTATATGGTAGTTCAAGGTGGAACATGAACGAATATATGAAATGATAAGTTTGGACCTTGCAATTGAAAATATTATTTTGTGTTATATTGTTGGGCTATATTTGTTTGCATTCATTATTTGTTGTGTGATGTTCTCTGTTTCGGTGTCCAGTTTTACTAAGTAATTTCTTCCTGATTTATTCATCCCTCTTTTTATTTGGTTATAGGTGCAAGAAGTCTGTTTTTTCAGTCGAGTAAGCTCAATTCGAGCAATAGACCATCCATACGATGAGGGCCTTGTCGTATGGTTCGACACAAATTTTCACCAATTTTTAGAGTCTAAACCCTTGGACCAACTTTGCTTTCTTTTTTTTCTATAGATTAGATGCACT